TTGTTTTATAGTAGAATCCGAAGAGCGCCTATTTAATCTATTGCTATAGCAAATACCTAGCGTATCTATACTGTCTTAGTAGCAAATGCGGGCTTACAACATTCTCGAGGTAGTAAGTAAAGCTATTATAGTTTACTAGACTATAGTTAAAGATTACCTACCCTCCTATTATATTAAATTAGCTACTATTGCCGCTATTAAATAGCTAATAGCTTGATAGTGTCTATATTGTCGATGCCGGCGGTGCGAATAAGCTTACTAGCGGTAGCATAGATAGTTGCATTAGTGTAGGCAGAGCGGACGATAGCGGAGCGGCCGTTTGTAAAGAGGTTAGCTATTACTAATCGTTTATATTATAATACGTATTTCTAGGTCCGTAGCAATAGACACTATAGGCTCTATTATTAGCCTTGCAACTATAGCGACCTCTATAGCCTGCTTTATAGCTATAGTATTGCTTCTTAATCGTTGTTGCTATCGTTACTAGTAGTAATAGCGGAGGTTTATACCTACTAGGCATAGCTTGTCGTTACCGCTCTACTAGATCGATATAGACTCGAGCTAGTATAGTACCTAGCGGTAGTGTCGCTCTATAGGTTAGATTAATCCGCTTAGCGCTAGTAGGTAAGCGGCCTGTTCTATTGTTACCTTAGCCTCGTTTATAGCCTATATTCGTACGCTTCTTAGCTCTCTTCTATAGCTTAATAGTACGAGAGCTAGTATCCTTCTACTTGCCGCTAGGTACAAGCTAGTAGCTCTCGAAGTCGTCTACTTCTAGCACTCGTATACCCTTACTTTATAGCATCTCTCGTATAAGACAACGATATAGTATACCTATAGTATAGCGGAAGCGTATAGAATACGGCTTAGGGTTGAACTCGCTATCGTTCTTAGCCTTCTTAATCTCTACCTTTACTAGGTCTACCTATTCTTTAACCTTATTAAGTGCGTACCTTATAATAATACGGATAACTCGCTAGTAGAATCTATCTATTACAAAGGCAATAAGGCTACTATTTAACTCGACGGTATAGCGCTCCTTCTAGCGGTTAATCTAATAGTCCTAATAAGGCTCTATTCGCTTAACGAATATAAGGATATCCGCCTTTAAGGAGGTAAGCTATAACTTAATGCTAGTATGCGCTCCCTTAATAGGTAATATTGTCTCGTTGCTATAGTGCTTATTACGGTTAGTCTAGGCTTTAATATACTTCTTACGATAGGGCTACTATTCGTTCTCGAGATAGCAAGCTATATTAAACTAGGCTTCGTCTATAGAAGACTACTTCTTAATGTCCTTTAGTACGGAGTTAAAAGTAGTCTCTAAAGGTACGTTAACTGCTAAGAAGAATATAGCTATAAACTCCTTACTAGTAGGAGATAGATTAAAGCGCTTAGTCTTATAGTTCTTTACTACTCTAAGAATACGCTTGCAATTAATAGTAACGGCCTTGTTTATATACTATCGACAATACTGTATAGGCAGGTAAGGAAGCATAATCTTGTAGGCATTAATTAAGGCCTAGTCTCGGTCGTATAGAAGGATTTCCGGCTCGTTAATATACTTCTTAACAAGCAGCTCTCGAAGGCATATTAGCGCTATAATATAGGCTGCTTCTCGCTAGTTAGGCATTATTATTATTGCTAGGGGAGCGGTCGAGTTGAATCTAGTAAGGAAGCTAAAATTGAGTAGAGGTAGGCTATAATCTATAACGTTGTAGGTATAGTCTGCAAGCAACACTTTAGGGTAATAACGATAGGCCTCTATTATTGTTAGGTAAGCGAAGAAGATCTATTATAGGCGGCTATCTCGGACGCTCTTACGTACGAAGAAACCTCGCTCTTCTAGTACCTAAAGTACCTTCTTAATAGGTATCTTATTACCGAGCTTTATAGCTCTAACCTTAGACTAACAGTTATAGATATCTCTTATAGTTTAAGGCGATAGGGAGTCCTGCCCTTCCGGTATATAGCGCTTCTTATATAGGTTGCGATATACTCTTACTAATAGTCCGGAAGAATGCAAAGTATATAGGTATACTAGTATCTTAGCGCTCCGCTCGCGACGCCTATACTAAGGCAATCCGTAGGCATTAGTTAGTCTATAGTTATGCCTTAGTTAAGAGCTAACTCGTAGGAACTAGTATACTCTAGGACCTTTAATACTGTCTTCGTAGTCGCAGTTAGCGCTAATTATAAAGGTATAAGTATAACTAGTAATCTTAGTACCCTTCCGCTTACGCTTCTTACTAGTAACATTAATACGCTAGCCGCTAACAAAGGTCGCTACGCCTATCTCGAGAGCCTTCTACTACTACTTCGTAGTACCCTTGCTATAGTAGTAGAAGATACGCTATTACTAGCGGAGGAGGTTTAGTTTCGTACCTTATCGCTTAAACTTATAACCCTTAATACGAGCGAAGTTATAGATCTAATTCTTAGCTTCTTCGCGAGTGCTAAACGACTATAGCGGCAATAGTACTAGAATCTCTTCGAAGGCCTCGCGTATAACGTAAGGCGCGATACTGTCGCTATCGCTATCGCTATCGCCTTCTTCTTTAGAAACCGCGCCCTCTTCGACTTTACTACTAATATTAGTATTCTTATCGCCTACGGCTTCTACGGCGGCTTCTAGATTATTATCTACCTCCTACTACTTAGCCTTATTAATCTCCTACTAACTTAGAAGCCTAGAGCGCGTTTCTATTATATACTACGCGTCGACAACCTTACCGCCGCTTAGGTATCGCTCTTCGTTCTCGAGGTCGATAATCGCTTTAGTATCGCTTAGTAGAAACATACAATCTAGAAACTCCGACTTATATTTAATAAGAGCCGCCGGCGCCTTATCTACTACCTCGATAGCCGCTATAACGATTACTAGTTTTAATAGTAAGAGGAAGATTCGTAGGATAAAGAGCGTATAGGAAGACGCGTCTCGAAACCTACTAAAATAATACGCTACGCTCGATCTAGCTCCTAAGCGCGATTTAGGCTCGAAACCGCTAGAATACTATTAAAAATTAAGGTTAGGGCTAACTTTACGATATTTAATACTACTAGAAACATTCTATATACTAGAAATCGCGATACACACTATATTTGCTAAGGAAATGCGATGAGAATAGTAAGACACGGTTTTCTTAGTAAGCGGGCGCTTAAGGTTTATCCTAGTGCGTTTGAAGTTTATAAAAGCCGGCTTTAACGTTGCAATTTTCACGCGATAGTAACTTGTTTTCGTTACATTCTCTTTTCGAAGGTAACGCTAACGGATAGAATAGCTAGCATTTGGTTCGGTATATCGTTAGCACTTAGTATGTTAGCGGAAGCACAAAATGATCTCGGCCGCTCGCGACTAGCTTTAGATACTTGCTATTTGCCCCTCCTTACTTATTATTACGGCTATTAAACAGTAGTGCTATTTGACTTCTTATAGAACTACAGTACGAACTAGATAGCCGACCTTATGTAGTCTAGGGCCGCCCTAAGACCCCTTCCTTGTTACTGTATGCTTTTCTAACGTATACTATCGATAGCGAGATCAATATTGGCTTATAGACTTCGCGTACTAAATCGAGGAACCTTAGGAAGATGTGTATACTTCGTAAGCAGAGAGCAACAGTAGGGCTCTACTTATTAATTCATTTAATAACGGAGCAACAAAATCGCTAGCGTTTAGCTAGTCACTAATCGTACGCTTCCGTTAGTTTAGCTGTAGCAACAGCTACGAAACCCGCCGGAGTCTCTTGCGGATATAGATATAGGAGGCGCGACGAACATTGAAAACTTCTTCTACCTTCTCTAGGAGAATTCTTCGTCGAGCGCCTATAGGGGAATACTACTATACCGCTCGAAATGTAACGTCGCAGCGAAGCTATACAATTAACTAGTGCCTCCGCAACAGAGCAATGAAATTAAAGTCAAGCCTATCTAACACTCTATATATAGCATAGACATATATAAAGGCTAGCTAGTAGCGGCTGCCCGAGAGAGCGCCGAAGTTGAAGAAGGTCGGCTTTAGGCTAATTTCGTAAATTCTAGGGTTTTAAATAAAAGTTGATTAAGCCGCTGCAACGTCTACTAACTTTTATAAACTTTTAGCTAGTCGGAGGCCTTCGGCAAGCGGAGCCGCGGCGAATCTATAGAGTACTATATGCCTAGACTTTAGCGCTTTCAACTTAGTAGATATAAGGTAAAGGCCGAAGAATATAGTAGAGTAATATAGCAACGAGATTAGAGGACCGAGAAGAGTTTCTATTTATAGCAGCCGTACTACTTCTCCTAAATACCGAATAGAAGACCGCTAAGAGTATGAAAACACAATAAAGAGCACTATTATTCCCGAAGGCTAGCAAATAAAAAAGCAAACAAAGAAGTAGACTAGCTACTATACCTAAATACCGAACACCTAGTAAGCGATATGCGTCTTACTACTATATTTTAGGACTTACTACGCGAACAAGCAAAAATTAGTAGGCGGCGACGCTACCGCAAGTACTACTACCTTTACTACTACCTATGCTACTACCGTAGCCACTACCGAAACTATCTGGCTTACGATCTAGGCTCTTCTTAAGTAGGAGCCTAAGCTCCTCGTCGCGATAGGAGTAAGGGATCTAAAAGTAACGAAGTTAGTATTATATCCTATCTAGAATATAATAAGAATGTTATACCTTACGGAGACGGCAGCGAGCACAACTACGACTAGGCTTCTTAATATAGGCCTTAATGCCCGCTAAATAACCCTAGTACTTAAGGCTATCGCGACGGTAGGCGTCGTACGGGCAGGCGAAACGACAGCCTAAGGTCGTCTCTATAATACAAACGACGTAGCGTAGCTACTCGTAGCGATTCGTATAGGCCGCTATAATATATATTAGTATAATCCTTAATCGCTCGCTCGATTAGTCTAACTTACGGTCGATAGTATCCGGAGACTACTACTCTCCTATAACCTAAGCAGGCTTAGGCGTCGTACCCGGAATAGGCGGCTTAGCTAGCTAAGGGCGAGGTACGCGAGCACCTCCGGCCGGGATAGGCGGCATATTGCTAACCTGCCCGCCTATCGTTAGTGCTACGGCCGGCGGAGCGAAGAAAGGGACGGCGGCGGCGGTAGTAGTAGTAGGAGGAGGGAGGGCGTCGGCAGTAGTAGTAGGAGGAGGAGGAGGGAGGGCGTCGGCAGTAGTAGTAGTAGGAGGAGGAGGGAGGGCGGCGGCGGTAGTAGTAGTAGGAGGAGGAGGGAGGGCGGCGGCGGCAGTAGCAGTAGGAGGGGGGAGGGCGGTAGCATCGAAGGCTACGGCGGTAGGGCTAATAAAAGGCTTATTCTCGCTATAGTATAGTTAGTATATATATAAACACGACAACGGCCTAGGAATATATAACTTACTTATCGCTATCGTCGTTACTACTAGCGCTAGCAGGGTTATAGTCGTCGCTATAGCATAGTTAGCATCGATTAAAATAGCTAATAGAGCTAAGTAACAACTTACTTGTCGCCGCTAGTACCGAAGTTTATATCGATATTACTATATCGTAGTTAGCATCGATTAAAACAGGCAACGGAGTAAAGCAATAACTTACTCGTCGCCGCTAGCACCGAAGTTTATATCGATATTACTATATCGTAGTTAGCATCGATTAAAATAGGCAACGGAGCAAAGCAATACTTACTCGCCGCCTTGCGGCTACTACTATAGTTGCTACTATAGCGGAGGTTTGCAATATATTAGCGCCTAGCGATTATAAGCAGACAAGACTAAAGATATATACGCTAGAGGAGCTAGCGGAGGAGGAGCTAGCAGAAGCTAATAGCTATTCTACGAATTAGTGCTATACCTAAGGATTAATCGATAAGCTAAAAACGTACGTTACTATGCCTATAGGGGTTATAAAGAAAGTCGGACTTCGAGATATTAGTATATTCTTATCCCGAGACGCCTAAAACTAGCATACTTCTATAGCTGCTACTGCTGCTACTACTACTACTGCTATAGCAAACGCAATCGAAGGGCGATGCGGCGGCGGCGGTTGCGGCGGGATACGCGCTACGCGCGCGAAGCAGCAGACGCTAGAGCTCGCTCGCCCTATATACGTATTAGTAGTATTCTAATCTCTAAATACCTCCGAAGTTACTAATTAATATATATATCTATGCTAAAAAGAGGGTGCCCCGATAGGCGGCGAAAGAACGGGCTAGCTATCTTTGTTACTTTCTATGCCGTTAACGTAGTTCTTATATTTAAGGTAACGTTATAGAAGAGGGTAAGAGGGTATATACGATATCTTATAGAAGAAGAAGGAAGGAAGGAAACGATAGAGGGAGAAGAAATATATATATAAGGCTAAGGGCGGGATAAGTTCTATTGTCTACCTAAGAAGCAACGTAAAACTAACTAATAATAGTATATAAACTTTACTACTAGGAAAATGTAGGGCAAGTAAGGTAACAGCTCTACGTTCGCCCTATAAGAGTAGGATCGAAGTAAGGGTTAATACTCTATCCGATATAATCTTCGGGCTCTTATTAGCTAAAAGTTAGTAAAGGTTTCTAAAAGATGCTAAAACTTTATATAGACCGCTATCGCTCGAGGGATTAACAATAGTAAGGCCCTACTTTTTTCCGCTATTTCCTATTAACGTCGCCTATAATATCTGCCCGCTCTAACATTCGGGCCCTCGTAAGTTAGTAAAAGTTTATAAAAGATGCTAAAACTTTATATAGACCGCTACTACTCGAGGGATTAATAATAGCAAGGCCCTACTTTTCCCGTTATTTACTATTAAAGTTGCCTAGAATATCAACTAATTGCCCGAGAAAGGTACGGATGCGCCTATAAGGTATACTCCCTAGACTACGAAGTATACGCCAACCCTATATAGGCAAGATAAAGTACGATCGCGAAGAGTTACGTACTTACTACTAAAGGCCTTAGCGGCTTTTATTAGGTCTCCTTTAGCTTTAGCGAACATTCTCGGGTTAGCTAAATACGTATATAATCCCGTCGACCGTAGTCTTAGAGGGTAGGCCTAGCCTATCGTTTACGGAGCGCCTATCGTCTATAGTGCGCCTATCGTTTACGGAGCGCTCCTTCGCTATAGAGCGCTCTTCGAGAGTAGGCCCGTCCTATTAACCGTAGAGAGCTTATCGAGAGTAGGCCTATCCTATCGATCGTAGAGTACTTATCGAGAGCAGGCCTAGCTTAGGGTTTACGCGCGCTTCTTCGAGAGCAGGCCTAGCTTGCCGTTTACGGAGCGCTTCTTCGAGAGCAGGCCTATCCTATCGACTGTAGAATGCTTATCGAGAGCAGGCCCGGCTTGCCGTTTACGGAGCGCTTCTTCGATAGTAGTGCTAGCCTTAAGCTTATACTCGTTAGTATCTTAGGTAGAGTTCTAAATTCGATACTCTAACTAGCGGCGTGCTTCGTTAGGGTCCTAGACCTAGATAGAGTCTTAAATTCGACACTCTAACTAGTAGCGCGCTTCGTTAGGGTCCTAGACCTAGATAGAGTCTTAAATTCGACACTCTAATAAGTAGCGCGCTTCGTTAGGGTCCTAGACCTAGATAGAGTCTTGAATTCGACACTCTAACTAGTAGCGCGCTTCGTTAGGGTCCTAGACCTAGACAGAGTCTTGAATTCGATACTCTAACAAGTAGCGCGCTTCGTTAGGGTCCTAGACCTAGACAGAGTCTTAAATTCGACACTCTAACTAGTAGCGCGCTTCGTTAGGGTCCTAGACCTAGATAGAGTCTTGAATTCGACACTCTAACTAGTAGCGCGCTTCGTTAGGGTCTTAAGCGGGAGTCTTAGTAGGAGTAGTAGCCTCTGCCTTCGCTTCTAATACTTTAATTTCACTCGCTTCTACGCCGTTTGCTTATCTATATAGGCCCGAAGGTTCCCTATCGAGCGTAGTAATGCCTATTACGTTAAGCTAGTGTTTATTTACTTAGTAAGGGTATTGGGACCCCTAGTCGCTGCCGCCGGCTTAGTGTCTCCTAGACCGGCGTAAGTGTTATAGAAGAAAGGAGGAAGAAATGCAGAAGATAGTTACTTTTGTAGTAGCTACTGCACTTTACCCTATATTAACTACTTCTCGGCAATAAGCTAGATCTGCCTCTTCTACCTTAGTAGTAATAATAGCACCGAAGGGCTAGTTTGTTTACTTAGTATAGGCGGCACTAAAGGAATAGTATTAATTAAGTTAGAGGCAGTAAGAGTGCTGCAACCCTTGCTCCCTTAGTAGACTTAGTGCCTATCGGGAGGCGTCTATAGCACTAACAAACCTTAGGCGCATATAAATAGTCTGAAACTTGCCGAAAGTTGATAAAAGTTGCCGAATAATATCTAGTCGCTAAAGGATAAACAGTCTCGAAGGTACAACCTTATAGAGAAGCGGGCGCCGGAGCTCTTACGAATCTCGCTAATCTTGCTACTACCGCGACTAACAGTATATCCTGCTATATTAGCCGGTATACTAAAACTTTAAGTTTAGATATCCCCGCCGTCTTTAGACAACGACCGCTTTGTAAGCGGCTTAAAGCTAATAAAACTTAGTAAAAGATATCGGCTATATTAGCCGATATACTAATACTTTAACTTTAGATATTCTCGCTATCTCTAGACAACGACCGCATTATAAGCGGCTTAAAGCTAATAAAACTTAGTAAAAGATATCGGCTATATTAGCCGATATACTAATACTTTAACTTTGGATATTCTCGCTATCTCTAGATAACGACCGTATTGTAAGCGGCTAAAAGTTGCTAAAACTCGATAAACGATATCGGCTTGTTGTAAATAACTAATATCCCCGAGGCCGATCGTAGCGCTAAGGGCGGTAGGGAGTAACGAATTAAGTGTTAAAGTAACAATAGTAGTCGGATAGTATTGTAAGGCGTATAGTAAGGGTATAATACCGAAGTAAGATCGATACGGTAAAATTAAGCTCGATAAGAGAGTCGCTTATAAATTAGACTCCTCGCCGACCTTCTTCTATTCTCTTTCTTCTTTACCGATATATACTATCCTCGCCTTTAACACCTCGCCGTCGTAGTCGCTACTATATCTAACTAAGAACTCGACGAAATTGTAGACTTTGCGCTAGACTTTCTGTCTCCCGGGGCGTAGGCGCCTCTACTATAACAGCAGTAGTAGTAGGACTAGTAGGACTAGCAGGACTAGCAGGGCGGCTCGGTTTAGGATGTCGATGCCCTAGACGAGTATACCTTCTATCTTCGCCTTATATAAGGCCGCAGCTAATATATCCTAGTGTCGTTAATATAGCGGCCTTAGCGCTACTAGCTCTAGCACTATCTCGGCGTTCTAGTCTAAGTACGTAGGCGCGTCGATAGTAAGACCGCTCTCGCTAAGGCCTGCCTCTTGTCTCTCTACCTCCTCCTCCGCTACCTCTAGCCTCGACTTTAGTACCTAGGGCGCTACTACCGCTAGCACTAGCACTAGCACTAGCACTAGCTTAGGCTTAGAAGAAGAAGAAGAAGAAGGGTTCAAGTAGCCTACGGATTGCGCTACGCTACCTATAGGCTAATAAGGCCTACTATTCCGAGACTGTAAAGCTATAGATAGAGAGTTCGAACGAGACATAGATTAGATTAACGCATATCGGCCGTATCGAAGAGACAGATAAAGGAGAGTTGCGTACGCCTACCTATAAGCGCTATGCCCGCTTAGGCTATACCTGTCGTATATATACTAAGGAGGGCAAGCGGGCATACGATAGTAGTGCCGGCAATATAAAGTGCGGCCGCTATCGATACCGTAAAGTCGGCAATTCTGAATATATAGATTCTTAAGTTGAAATAATATCCGTGCCTATATGCCTACGATATGCCTCGTTTTCTACCTCTTATTATTTAAATCTTGCGCTCTAAGCGGCTAAATCCGATCGTTGATATCGCTATCGTCGTTCCTCTACCGATATATAAGATCGTATAATCCTCGCGCCTTAGCTACTACATTTTCTTCTCGACCTAAAACTCCTCTTCTAATCGGTTCGAATCTATAGCGTAGAGGACGATAAACCCTATAGCTCCCGAGGACCCGAGGTCCTATAAACCCTGCTTATAAACTTTGTAGGTTTAAGGCGCGCGGATAATACTTAAGAGGTGAAAATTAGTAGCTTAGACGGGTTAGATAGGCGACGTAGGCTTAGCTAGGGTGGGCCCGTCCGCGGCCCTACCTCGAACGAACTTTTAGCAACTTTTATTAACTTTCGGCTAATAAGACCTAAGAGCCTCTTAGCAGCGGGTGCTATACGTTAAGAAGCCCGTCTCCGAAAATTCTTATTAACTTTTAGTATTAATAACGCCGCTAGTCTAGAAGCATACGTCGCCTAACCGCAACCTTCTTAGCCGTAAGATGTACTATATCTTAAGGGTAGGGAACGCAGCTAAACATTCTATAGGCATAAACATCTAGCAACTCGACGACTTTACCCGCTAAATACGATCGCTAACGACTATCGCCTACGACATACTAGCTCGTATTGCTCTAATTAAGGCAAAATTTAAGGGCACTAGAGACTAAGCTAGTCTAGTCGTTAAGAAGCCTATAGATTATACCGGCGTCGCCGCGACAACGGTTATACTAGAATCCCGGAGCCTATAGGCTTAAGGAGCGCGGATATTACTTCTATATTTAAAGAGCTAAAAAATGGACATTAGGTACAAGGCTTTAGTATAATAACAAGACTTTAGTATAATAACAAGACTTTAGTATAATAACAGGACTTTAGTAAAAGAAGATAGCGAATTATATAAAGGTCTAAAAAGATCAAAATGGTTATTATCTAGAAGAACAATACCTCTATAAAAGGCTAACACCTAAGTAAAAGAAGATAGCCCCTCCGAGATTCGAACCCGGGTTACTCTAGTATAAAAGAGACATTCTCGATCGAGTATAACGCAAGTATATAGATTGTAACCGCTCTCGGATGCCTAAGCAGTACTACCTCCGGCCCTAGGAAGTCTCTACGAGTAATGTAGAGCTAAGGCTAGAGGTATATAACTGCTTAATAGGCGATCTTCGAGCAATTACGCTCCGTTGCTATACCGTAGAGCGTAATCAACCACTATACTAAAGGGCCTAATTAGATAACAGCAAGGCTGTATAGTGCCTATATCAATGTCCCTTATCTACGGCAATATCGACAAGTTAAACAAGTCCTATAGCCCTAAGGAGATTAAGGGATCAGGTTAAGGAACTTACCCTAGGCAGCTTCGGTTATTACCTTATTCGCCTTACAGAACAGGCCGATATTAATTAGTACTTATCTACGAGAAGTTAAACAATAACCTTAAGTCTAAAACAACTAGCAAATTCCCGTAACAGATAGACGAGAAGTGCAACGATAAGAAGTTAATAATAACCTTAAGCCTAAGATAAGCAGTAGACCTTAGTGAAATAAGAAGGTTAACAATAACCTTAAGCCTAAGACATTCGGCAAGTCTCGACGTAATAGATAGACGTTACTCTCGGAAGATTTTAGAAAGCAGTAGAGACAGATATTGTATTTCTTAGCGAAGTAGTCGTAGAGGGATATAGTTACCTTATTACCTTAAGGATTAGTAACCTGTACCTTGTACTGCTTAGTGTCCTAGTAGATAAAGCGCTCGATGTAATACTTATCCTCGTTGTGCTAGCTACGGCGCTTAGCAATAACGCGGACCTTCCGGAACTTCTTAAGACTAATACTATACTTGCCCTTCTCCCCCTTGCGCTAAATGCCGGTAATAAGGTCGCCAATGTCGCGAGCACCGTAACAGCAGATTAATAAAGCATGTCGGCAGTCTAGAAAGTGCCGTTAGCTATATCGACATTAATAGAAAGGCGGCCTAGGTAAACGATACGTAGAGACTAGTATATACCCTTAAAAGCCTCGATACCGCTACCTAAGATAGACCGAGTCTAACTACGAGCGAAGCGTTATAATAGTGTCTAACGGAGGAGGTAGTCGGCGAAGGTAATAGCCTTAAGGCAGGTATTGTCGAACGAGGCCTTGCCCTAAAGGTAGTCTATTAATTGCTAGAAACTAACCTACTAAGACCGTATTTGCCCTTCTCGCCTATCTTCTAGAGACCGGTTTAAGCCTAAGCAAAAACAAAAGCTTTTAAAACTACGAAGATTACTACCTAAAGTAGATAGAACTAGCAGAAGTCGATACGCACGACGAGACGTATAGGTACTAGAGGAGGAGGAGGTAGAGCAGGTACGAATAGTAGTAGTAGTAGCGGTAGTAGTGCTATAGGTCCGGCCGGAGGTACGATAGGAGGCGGCAAGGCAAGCGGCGCTAGACTAAACAGACCCGGCGCGAATAGTCTAAGACCTTATAGATTTAGCAATAGTGCTATTTGAGGTGCCTACGGCGGTGCTGCCGTGCCCTATCTAGATCTATATTAGCGGCAGAAACGACGATTTTACTAGGCTAGAGGATAACGTACCTAGCCCCGAAGCGAGTAGCCCGCCGTAGGATCTGTACTACCGCTGCTTGTATATCGCCCTCGTTTAGCTTTATAACGGCTACATTTCCTAGTTAGCGCGTACCTAAGGTAGAGACGAGCCTACTAGGGTAACTTGCGGCGTGCTAGTGCTATCTTTGTTACTTTCCGTACCGCTAACGTAGTTCTTGTGTTTAAGGTAACGTTATTATAGGGGAGAGCGAGAAAGTGTACGTTATATCGATAGACTTAGGAAGTACGCAATAATAACTATAAGAGTAAGGAAGTTAGGTGCAGGCTAGTAGCAACCAAATCCGACTGGCTTTCTGGTTCTTTTTTTTCTTTCTTTCGATAGCCTTCCTTCCTAGCAACGTCGTAGTACGCTCTAAGGCGTTAACGAAGGAGGCGAGGGAGGGAATACTATACTTTATCGAGGCAAAGGGAATCGAATCTATTAAGTTTAACCTAGAAGCTATTCAAACAACTAATGTTAAAGCTAGAAACATTCAAATAATAAGACTAATGCCGGAAATACCGAAATCTATATTAATACTCGATGCTTAGCCCTTCTTATTAACCTTCTTGCCTCCTATAGATCTCGGCGATATTAGTAGAGGTGTCTACCCTAGATAATGTCCCTAGTCTGCCTTGAAATTCTCTCGCGCTATACCTATAGCCTCTCGCTCGATCGCTACCTAAGCTAGCCCTTAAGATATAGTACTCGTCGGCTAGACCTACTACTAGTTGATATGCTAATGCTAATCTTAGTCGCAATACTAGGACCTATAGCTCAATTTAGGTTCTCTACTAGTCGCTAGGAAGCAGGGGATTAACTTTCGCGAGTCTATAAACCCTATTCTAACGTATCAACTTCTTACTCTAAGGCAGAGATACAAAGGCCTAGCTATCGGCTACAACGCGGAACGCTTTTTAGATGCCCTCCTATAATATTACTACTTTAGCACTCTTGTCTATCAACTTCTAGAGCTCCCTACCCTTCCCGCCTATAATATCTCCGGCTTAAGTTAGCTCTTATTATTGCCCTCGGTTTGCTTATCGAGAGGTCGGTAGTGCTAGCTGCATTAGAGGCCCGTATACTCGCGCGTACTATTCTAGGAACGTAGGCTCGTATACCGACTACAGACTTGTACGGTTACCGCTATTCGGACTATTGTCGTTGTACTAATATCCCTAACGCGTAGGGACCCGAGGGTAACTATTCGGGAATAGAGTATACGAGTCTCGGATTATTAACGTACGCTAGTAGTCTTCGTCGAGGTCGCGATAACGTCCGAACAGCGTAAAAGAAGCTTGCCTCGTCTAATTCGGAAGGCCCTAAATGCCTGCCTCTCTAGAGTTAAACTAATACGCAAAGGTAATACCGCCTTATCTATTATTCGCCGCTACTAGCGTCTATACGATTAACTATAGTATAGTCGCCGGGCCGCTATTGTTCGGCAGATCGTACTGCCTTGTAGTAAAATAGAGTATACCTAGGAACGCTCTACCTACGCCGTTCTAAACTATGCCGACAATAATACCCTTTAAATGTTAGTATTCGTACGGACGAATCGACGACTGTAGGCACTTACTATTCCCTAAGGGCTACGAACTAGACCTATATCTGTATCGAAATAAGCTAGTAATAATAGCGCTCCGCCCTAGTTCTACTAGCCCTAGTTCTGCTATATGTTATTAGACATTTCGTCGAAGTAGCTCGAGTATTCTATACTATCGGGTAATTAATAATTATTGTTAAAGAAGGGAAGGGGGATTGCCGTTAACTGAAGTCTTATATGCCGTAACTAACTACCTACTAGAGCTCCTTCCTTATCGCCTAGAAAGCGTACGTAGGTAATAGACGAAGTTACGCGGCATGTAACAGTTTAAGTTATACTAGCAGTAACATTTCTACTATTATATGCCGCTTCTAGAAGTAGGCGCTAGTTGCTACCTACCCTTCGTATAGGAAAGTAGGTATTTAACGCCTATACTAAGCCCTCGATTAATCTTATCGATAATAACAACAACCTCCGGAACACAGCTATCTTCTTAGAACCTTAAACATACGTCTAAGCTAACCCGAATACCGAAGTTTACTATAGCTCCTACCTACTTCGACGTCGACGGAGGTATAGTGCGGTATTAAGACTAGTAGGTATAGATCTAAGAAAGCTAAGGATCTATAGACACTAACTATACGCTTTAGGTCTCGTATATCAAAGTTAGCGAGGTTATTTATAAGGACGGATCGATAGCTCTACTTACGATCGGTCGTAAGGAATAGCGTACGGACAAACCGAATAAGTAGTATGCCGCTAAACTATAGACCTTTATCGTTATCGAATTCGATCGGAAGGAGATTAAATAGAACTAGCTATAGTAGGACATTCGCGACATCTAAGGCTCTAATATGTTTATCGTATACGAATAGAAGGATTTAGGCGGGATTTAGAATCTTCCTCCTAGCCTAGTCGAAAGCAAGAGGGTTAGTATAGTTGCAGAGCGGAAGGCCTCGAAGCTACCGGAATATCCCAAGGTTTAGAAGATCCGTTGGTTTAAGAGATATAAAGATCTTATATAGGTGTAGCGGATAAGGCAATTCGAGGAGGATTGTATAGTAATCGACTTTAGTAGTAGTATAAAGCTAGCAACTTATAGCTAATGCCGCACTGCTAAGGATAGTAAAGGCCCTAGTTCGTAGACGAAGTTCTTCCGTAAGCGTAGCTTCGAGCCGCCGATGCCGTAGTAGAGGTTCTAGCAGCTATTTAGCCTATAGAAGTAGGTCGCGAAGAGGTACTAACGTTTAAGAAGAACATAACCGTACTAATACTATAAGATGCTTTATATAGTAGCACGTAAAACTCATATCAAACTAAGTCTACTATCCCGTATATGTTATTGTTATATCCTATACGAGTCGTCGATGCTTAAGGTCTATTAAATACGGTTTTAGAGATATAGAAAAGGGGGGGAGGGGGGCGGCCGACAGACGCAAATCCCTCCTAGTATAACAGAAAGTCTCGGCTATAGGCTACAGATTCTAAATTAAGATCGACGGCGGGCTAGATATTCCGAATAGAAATCGGCCGTAGGTTGCTAATTCTAAGTTGAAATCGGCCGTAGGCTGCTAATTCTAAGTTGAAATCGATAGCGGGCTAGATATTCCGAGTAGAAATCGGCCGTAGGCTGCAGATTATGAATTAGAATCGGCTGTAATATAGAAAGCGATAGTAGTAGTATCGCTACCGTCGATAATTTAACGAGTTAAACGACAATGCCCGCGTTGTTCGAAGTAGGGCACTATCTCCGCTATTAAGCAGCTTCTAACGTATATACTATGCTAGCAAGCGCTTCTAAACGGGGATAGGGTACTTACTCTATATCGTAAGGGGCGGAGCACGAAGTCGGGAGGCTAGATACCCGAAATAAAGACCTAAATAAGCAGACTTAGCACCTAGGCTAGGCTAGCGGTGCTAAAGATGCTATTTCTAGGCTAGTAGTGCTAAAGATGCTATTTCTAGGCTAGTACTAAAGATGCTATTTCTAGGCTAATAGTACTAAAGATGCTGTTTCTAGGCTAGTAGTACTAAAGATGCTATTTCTAGGCTAGTAGTACTAAAGATACTATTTCTAGGCTAGTACTAAA